ATGTCACTGATTAAATACTCCACTTACAAGTTATCTTGGTGTAGATGAACATATTCTGTGATATATTCATAAATTAAACGGATTCATTCATTTTTCTGGACTGGATAATATCGTGCATTGAATTTAATAAAAATGTAACGTGAGACGTTAATTATCTTGGACCCATCAAATGAATGTGGTCATTTATTAACAGAATCAAGTTTAACATCAAACATTTATATTAATTTGGCAAAATATGAAAATAACAACAGGTTAATTAATCAGTTTACAATTAGAAAACCATACGGCGATGGTTTCCCTTGCTTCCAGCTGTACAACAGACATTTCTAAAAATATCTGGAATGATTTCTAGCAGATAGAAGAGTTTAAAGATGGAAAGATGAAGTTTAGAGGGAGGGAGATGGTGTGTGTGAGTGAAAGTGTTGAACAGAACGGCACCCTCCATTCGAACCCAGCTTTCCTCGGTACGCTCGGTAGTAAACTCGACTCTCTGACGATGAATCAGCGGATACGGAGCTCCAGTTAACGCTACCGGTCCAGCGTCTCCGTAGGATGGCAGAGAACCGTCAGGAGTGGTGGCGGGACTTCATCAACAACAGTTCACCTCACGGGTGAACTCGCATGAGTGGAGTCCGTCAGAAGTTCCACTCAGATGTGGAAGATTGCATAATTCCCACAAGACTCGGAAGAGCTCTGGATCATGCCTGGACTTCTGTTCTCCCAGCACTTCTTCCGTTCAGTTCTGCTCCCAGAACTGAACTCGACTGCACTCGACTGGAGCTGCAAACGACTGAAGCCCAACTGGTTTGAACTAGGAAGTACCGACATTTAAAGAGTTCTATTTCCGGTTCATTTGGGAGGTTCCTGATTGGTCAAAATCGACCAGACAGGGGTGTGTTTTTGTGACGTAAGAGGTCACTAGAAGTCAGAAAAACAGAAAATGTTTTGGAACAGATTGAAAATGTTTTTCAGACAGACGAGAGAAATATTTAGGCGAGTTGGGGGAAAACAGGTGCCAGCCTCTTTTTTACGTCTGAGAGGATATAAAAACATGACAGTTCGTTCCAACAACTTGTTTTCGACCTTTGACCAACTTCACAATGTGCTCATTTCAAACAGAAGATCAGAAAATGCATGAATTACTCCGTACCACATTCCAATTTGATTTCTACTTTGAATGAGGATTAAAAATCACTAATACTGTTTCACAGTTGATTAAAAATGATTAGTTCACTTCAACATTTAAAAATGGTTTGAACTAAACACACTTTGATTATCAAACATTTGTAAAAATAGTAATGATAATAGAAAAAGAGAGTGTTCTTTCAATTGATCAGTGCAGGACACTTAGAAAGTCTCTGGATGAACTTAATCTTGTGTTTCTGGACTCAAATCAATGAAATACAGTTCTTGTTCCAGGCAGGCCCTCAAGGCCAGGATTTGACCTGAGGCTTAGTTCACTACATTGGTCACATGGCAGAAATTTAACTCGAAAAAGAAAATAATCCGTTGTAATTAAACAATTAATATTCTTTGTGCTTGAACTAGCTTTAAGAATAATTAATTAGTAGTGTGTCCACAGCAAAGCTGTCCTGACATACTACAGTACATATATGTATATGGTTAAAATTACATAGGTTTAAGAGTTTAGGACACTGAAAGAGTGTGGGAAGGGTTTATAAAGCCATAAAATATATATAAATACTAAAATAAATATAGCGTTCCTACTTTGTGATTTTTCACCAATTGCGGGGGTGTCTGGAATGTAACCCTCGAGATAATTGAGGGACTACTGTTTTTTTTTTTGGTTTGTTTGTTTTTCTTTTGGCTGCTCCCTTCTTCAGGGGTTGCCACAGAGAACCAAGTCGCACAAAGACATGGCAATTATTTTCACACCGGTTGCCCTTCATGATGCAACTACAAACCACCGGGTTTAGAGTGGTTATTTCTAACCCGAGCCCTAAGCCTGGCCCCACCCGACCTGAATTTGGGGCGGGCTATGATAATGTGCTAGATGGGCGGGCCGGATTGGTTATTTGGCTTTTGATTGGGTCAGCGGATCAGCCGCGATCCAATTATATGATAACACGGCCTGCCATACTTTCACCAGCCACACACGGCCATTTCACCGAGAGATGACATGCCTTGAAAGAGGTAAAAAGTTCAATTAAGCTTCAGATGGGACTGTACTGCCAGGAAGCGATCCATCATCCAAATGGACGTTCATTCAGCCGCTGCACTAAGCGGACGCGCGCGGCCAACGACCCAAACAGGCGAAATCCCAAATCAGACGTGTAAGAACGGTCTGTGTCTGAGTAATGCAGAAGAATGCAGGCAGAAACAGGGTTTAAACGCTCTTTTACAGCCATGAAAGGACAAACACCCCCTCAGCTCCATTCTTCTGCCCCTTTTATTCAGCCACGTGTCTCTGACCATTAATAACTAATTAAAAATGTAAGGGGGTTTTCCAGGTTCAATGATGTCAATGATGACTGCGGGCTGGAGCCGGGTCGGATCTGATTTTTTGGGCCCAAATGCAACTCTACCCGGGTTACGACGGTCTTCTGTGTGGAGCTGCCATCTAGGGTGCCCAGGGGAGCAAGTGGTGGGGGCTCAGGGCCTTGCTCAAGGGCCCAGGGTGGGGCAAATGGGGGTGGAGGCAGGAGTGGGTGTTTCACCTTTCTCACCCACATTTTGATGTTGTCGGTACCAGTTGAACCAGCGATATTCCGATCACAGGCCCATCGTCTCTAACCTCTGTGCCACCACTTCCAATCATGGGACTACTGTACTTTATATATATTGTTTTTTGGGGTGTAATTGGACCTTGAGTATGCAATTTCGTTCCACCTCATGTACCACATGTGATGCGAATGACAATTAAGTCTCCTTGAACCATATATATATATATATATATATATATATATATATATATATATATATATATATACATACACACACACCATACAACAAAAAAAGTTTTTCTTACAACGATAATACCAGAACTGGCAGCTGCGTAAAGTGATAATACGTCACCATTTCTCAAACTCACTTACAAAAGGGGGCCAAAATTATAACCTTTATCAAACTAAGGGCCAATTTCAGAATATACATTAACTCAAGTTAGATATCCAACATCTTTTCTTGGTTGTAGTTTCCTGAACAAGAGTTTGATTGGTTTAATTTGATCTAAAAAAGTTAAATCTGGTCCTCTGGACATTCAAAAAAACAAAACAAAGCAAATCAACAAAAAAATGTAGAAACGTTTCGTCTCTCATCCGAGAGACTTCCTCAGTCTGAGGTGCTGTATTCAGCTCAGTCTCTTAAATAGCACCTTCTCAGAGTGGATCAACCAGTTTGCTACTGACAACCAAAACCAGCTGATCACATGCTCAAGAAGGACCATCAGCCTAACAATGGATCATTAGCACCTGATGGCTGTTTACTGTTCACAGAGGGCTGAGTGATACTAGCAATCACAGCATTGTAAGAGGGGGACAGTTGAACCCGGAGGCCTCCACCCCTGTTTAATGATGGACGATTTCTTTTCACAAAGATGGCCTCCTTTACTCCTCTCTCAAACCATCGTTCCTCTCTGTCCAGGATGTGAACATCTTCATCCTTGAAAGAGTGACCGCTGGCCTGGAGATGAGTGTAGACCTCAGAATCCTGACCTGATGATGTTGATCTTCTGTGCTGGGCCATCCTTTTGGCCAGTGGCTGTTTTGTTTCCCCGATGTAAGACTGATCACAGCCCTCCTGACACTGAACAGCATACACAACATTACTCTGTTTGTGCTGGGGGACAGGATCTTTGGGATGAACCAGTCTTTGCCGTAATGTATTTTGGGATTTAAAAGCCACTGGGACGTTATGTTTAGAAAATAAACGTCTCAGTTTCTCTGATGCCCTGTCCAGGCAGGGTATCAGTAATAGGAGAAACTGGAGACCCCATAGCACACCCATGTTTCTGCCTATAATATTGCTCCCCATATGTGAAGTAGGTTGACTGCAGGCACAGTTTCAAGAGTTTTTCTCCTATTGTTGCCAACCTGTACATGGAGGAGGTAGAAAAGAGAGCCTTGACGTCCTTTTCAGGGACACCACCAAGTCATTGGTTCAGGTATGTTGACGACACCTGGGTTAAAATCAAATCTCAGGAAGTCCAACATTTTACTGACCACATCAACTCTGTGGATAAATACATCAAGTTCACACGAGAAGATGTAAAAAATGGCAGGTTGGCTTTCTTGGACTGTGAGGTCTCAGTCTCTGATAGAGGACATTTGCAAACCGAGGTGTACCGCAAACCCACCCACACAGACCAGTATTTGCAGTTTGACTCCCATCACCATTTGGAGCACAAGTTAGGAGTCATCAGGACTCTGTATCACAGAGCAGACAGCGTCCCCACTAGCTCAGGAGCCAGGCAGAAGGAGAAATCCCACACAAGACAGGCTCTAGAGCAATGTGGATATCCTAACTGGGCCTTCCTGAAAGCAGAGAAGAAACCCAAACAGGACTCCAGTCAGCCA